ACGAAATTAATCTAACTACACTTAGTATGAAACCAAGAACAAATATATAAATGAATATATATATATATATATATATATATATATATATATATATATATTGAAAGGTTCCCGTGCGGATGTGCGGTAGATTAATGTGCGTGAGATTTGTACTCAATGTGCGTGAGTGTTGTGCTTAATGTGCCTGAGATTTGTACTTAATTAGTGTGCGTGAATGTGTAAAATGCAGCAGAAAATATTAATGTCAGCTTCTTCCCCATCCCCAGTAACCATTTGCCCCCTCCCTGATGATGATGATGCGGAAGCGAGCTATGGTGGTTAAGAATTATGGGAATAATAAAACAGAAATCCACACTTAGCTGCTGTGCAAATTTTACTGTACGTGCGTCATTTATATAAACATTCATCTGCATTGAAGGTAGCTGATAATCCAGAATCCATGGCCAAATTGAAGGAAGAAGTAACAAGAAGCTTGGGTGTTAATGTGCGTGAGTTTCTGTTCTGCTTCCTTCTGAGCTCGTAATTCTGAAATAATCACGCACATTAAGCACAAATCTCACGCACATTAAGCACAATACTCAGGCACATTAAGTACAAAACTCACGCATATTAACATGACGCACATTAAGTACAAATCTCAGGCACATTGAGTACAAATCTCATGCACATTAAGTATAAACCTCACGCACATTAATCCACCGCACATCCGCACGGGAAGCCACAAATGCACCTGATCCCTTCCCTATATATATATATATATATATATATATATATATATATATATATATATATATATATATATATATATATATATATATATATATATATATCACAATAATCAGGCACATTAAGTACAAAACTCACGCATATTAACATGACGCACATTAAGTACAAATCTCAGGCACATTGAGTACAAATCTCACGCACATTAAGTATAAACCTCACGCACATTAATCCACCGCACATCCGCACGGGAAGCCACAAATGCACCTGATCCCTTCCCTATATATATATATATATATATGAAACGAGAAAGTGTTTCTAGCCTGAGGTTTTGACCCAACGAGAAGAAAAAGGAAGTCCGAGTCGTGTGTACACACACTTTCCTTAAAACCGATTCGCCACCTCCCGATGGTGCTAGAATAATGTACATCTTAGGGGGGTGGGGGTGGGGGGAGGGGGGGAGAGATCATGTATTTTATGAGTTAGAATAATGTACTTTATGTGTTAGAATAATGTACTTTGTGTTAGAATAATGTACTTTGTGTTAGAAACTTAGAATAATAAAAATTTTCGGATAAAATAATATATTTTATGAGTTAGGATAATATACTTTGTGTTAGAATAATGTATTTTATGAGTTAGAATAATGTATAATGTATTTTATGTGTTAAAAAATAATGAAATTTATAGGGTAAGATAATGTATTTTATGAGTTAGAATAATGTGTTTATGTGTTAGAATAATGTATTTTATGAGTTAGAATAATGTACTTTATTGTTTTTGGATAAAATGATGTCGTTTTGATGTTAAAAATAAAAATCTTTGCTTTGCGCGCGCGTTAGTATAATGAACATTTTGGGGTAAGATAATGTATTTTATGAGTTAAAATAATATACTTTATATGTGTTAGAATAATTAATGAAATTTCTGAGGTAAGATAATATATTTTATAAGTTTGAATAATGTACTTTATGTGTTAGAATAATGAAATTTCTGGAGTACGATAATGCATTTTATGTGTTAGATCAGAATAATAGTATATTTTATGAGTTAGAATAATGTAATTTATATGTTTTTGAACCGTGACCACTAACCACTATCCACGCAATAATGATTGAACTTTTATTTTTTTTTTGGAAGAATGATTGAATTATTCTTTCCAAAAGGTTGAATTATATCGGAGCGTTATGCTATGCATCCGTATGCACCATGCATGGTGCATCCGGATGCAAAAACGACGTCATTTTGATGTCAAACTTAAAAAAAAATAAAAAAAATTCAGAATTGCATAACTACACATCCATAATTTCATAACTATACATCCAGAATACATAACTACATATCCATAATTTCATCACATCCATAATTTCATAACTATACATCCAGAATTACATAACTACACATCCATAATTTCATAACTATAAATCCAGAATTGCATAACTACACATCCATAACTTCATAACTATACATCCAGAATTGCATAACTACACATCCACAACTTCATAACTACACATCCAGAATTGCATAACTATACGTCCAGAATTTCATAACTAAAAATCCATAATGAATGAACTAAAAAATGAATAACATAATGTTGTTGCTGGGAATCGAACATGATTTTTTTTAAGTAGGACGCGCGTTTTGATGCAAAACGACGTCATTTTTTCATCCGTATGCATCATGCACCATGCATGGTGCATACGGATGCACAGCATAATTTGCCGAATTATACCCTCATGGGCCTAAATTTGGGCTTACTGGGCACAAACAACAATTTACAAATTTCCTTTTAAAAACCATTTTGTTGCTTAACTAAGCCCATTTAATCGGCCCATTTGTCAATTAATCTCATAAGTCATACCCCTCTAGTCCTCTACAGCGCGTGGTTTTGTGGCATTTCTGCACTTTTCCACACTCAACAGTTGACACTACCCTTATCCTCAGAGCAGCAAAGATGATGAGCCTCTCCGTCGCGTCGCCTCCGAGCCTGACCTTTGCTCCGCCGAGGAACCTCTCTAAATCCCTATTTCACGGCGTTCGGATTGCCCACGTATGCCCTGCGTCGTCGCTTCGAACATCGCATTCATCCTCTTCTTCTTTGGTCGTGCGAATGGCTAAGAAAGAAGAGGAATTGAAGGAAATCAGAGCGAAAACTACTGACGAAATCAACGAGGAGATATTGAACCTCAAGGGAGAGCTGTTAATGCTTCGCCTCCAGGCGTCTGTCCGCAATGAATTCAAGTCCAGCGAGTTCGGCCGGATGCGTAAACGGGTACTTTCTTTTCCGGCATTTATTAATGAATTTCTAAATGTGCATGTGTTATGGTTTAATTAGCTTAGAATGTGAGTTTTTTTTTTTTTTTTTTTTTTTTTTTTTTTTTTTTGGCTGAATTTGCAAATTGGAGGTTGAACTTTTCAATTATTGGGATAAAGGGAAGGAGTAGAGCCAATTTAGAACCATGGTTAACGGTGCATAGGAGTAGTCTTGAAGGAACTTTGAGGAAAGAATCATAATTGAAGTTGTTTGTATTTGTAGCATATACTCTATTAGTAACAATGTTTGTATTTGGACCATATGGCAGTTCTTGTCCAAATCATGACATTCATGACTGCATTCAATCTAGATTACCATAATTTATTAATTCTAGGTATAAAATGTTACTTCTGGATTATATTTGGTCAGACGCCTGCTTTGTTGTGCAGTCATTCATGCAATCAAGTATCATAGTCTGAAAAGATGTGTTGTGACCTTGCTTAATCAAAGTTAAATTGCTAACAGGGAAAAAAAATTTAACTGAAAGCTGATTTACAATACCAATTTTTTGATTTTATATCTTCCTCTTCTAAAGTGAATTAGAAATTTAGAACTATTAGACATTTAGATATAAAGCATGATTTGGGTGATAAATTCTATTATGCGTGTCCCTTTGCATGGGATTTCAGTTTCAGCAGAGTGTATTAGGTAAATCAAAATTTCTGTACCTTTTATTCCTTTAATCTATAAACACTTGTTTATTAGTTGTGTTCATCTTTTTTTTTTTTTTTTTTTTAAACAGTTCCATACTTTGATTTGTTCTCTCTTCTGAATGCTTTATTTTTTCCTAGTTTGATTAAATGCAATACGGCAAGATTAGTCCTGTACTAAAGAAAAGGACATCCTTTATTGGAATATATTATTTTTATTCTATGCAAGCCAAAGTTTGCTTGTAGATGCAGATATGGCCCTTTTAGAAGGTATTATTTTCCAGAGGACAAAACTATTGTGTCTGAAAAGCTTTTTCTTTTGAGGTCTATTACCAAGATCTGTCCTGGCATTTCCATTTTATTTTGCCATTTCATAATCCCTACTGCCTTTGTTCGTAGAACAATGTATGGACAATGTGAGATTGTGAGGTTATGAACTTCCAATTTTATTTGATCTATGGAATGACAGTTTTGAGTTGCTGAATACATGATGAGTAAAGTTGTCGTTTAACCATTGTCCCTTATCAGGGTTGTTATACCCTGTTCCTCTGCTTTCTATCTAGTAGCCTATTATACCTTAACATGAATTTTTTTTTTTTAAATGCAATTTTGCAGTCTCATTTGAAACATTGCTTTGACATGGTTTTTCTTGATTAATTAGGTTGCTCGAATGATGACTGTTAAACGGGAGAGAGAGCTTGAGGAGGGAATTAACAAGAGGTTGTCAAGGAAGCTAGACAAGAAGTGGATGAAAAGCGTTGTTCCGAGACCACCTCCATCTTTATTGAAATTACAAGAGGAGGCAGAGGAAGAAGCTAAGAAGTCATCTGCTTGAGTTTAGAGACCTTTCTGTATGTAGGTAATATGATGTCATCTTCATTGGTTTATGTGTAGGTATGTTGTATTAGTTTTTTCCAATTTACCCATTGCACTGCTAATTGTGGTTCCAAATATATTCTGTCAATCTGGATTAAGGCATTCTCTTTTGTTCCTCAAACTGTTACCACAATTGTATTGCTTCCTTGTATTCTCTTATTAAGTTACTCTCAAGTATCTTCCAGTTCTTGTTTCTTAAACTAATGAATGCTCCATATTAGTGTTGTAAATGAGTATTAAGATAGATTGTGTCCGTGAGTCTTAAAGGAAGATGAGTATAGCAATTGTAAAACACTTATCAAGCTTTGATCAATTGGGTGATCATTGATAGTTGTCAATGTTTTATGAAAGAAGAAAAACTCTTTTAGCTAGCCTTGAAAAGGGAAATCAAGAAATAGATGGACAACTAACTCTTCTTGTTCAGTGAATCTCTAAAATTGCTAGGCATTGCCACTGTCATCAGTGCCACGGCCTAAGATACTTCCCATGATGGTCTGCCCTACCTGCTGAGTCGCCCCTTCCATGAGGCCTTGAATTGCAGCATTCAACAAGCCACTACTCCCCATTGCGGTGTTTGTCATTGCAGGCTGCTGCTGGGCGTGTTGGGTAAGGGTTGGTCTTGTGTATCCGCCCGCCTGGACTGCAATTGCAGGTGCAGGAGTTTGCACAAACTGGTTTGGTCTGATGAATGACCCACCCTGTGCTACAGGCACCTGCTGGTATTGGGAATGAGAAGTTGATGCCAGAAATGAGTGATGGTGCCTGATGGGCGGCACCACGGGCTGTGGGTGAAGTAGCAGCGGTTTGGGGGCAGAAGCGGTAGAGCAATCCAAGTGAACATCAAACTCGCAACTACTGCACCTATAAAGCCACTGCTTGATCCCGATTCTCTTGCAGACGTCACAGGAGAAGCCCTTGACATCATCATAGGGGTTGTTGAAGACGAGGTGAAGTGGGCACTTGTGCATGTGGTGGGCGATCCTGAGGGGCTTGGAAGCGCAGAAAACATGGAGATCAAACTCACAGTGCTCACAGTGGTAGTTGAAGCCATCTCCACGGCGGTTGCAGGCATCACAGTTGAAGAGGCCACCGGGGTACGAGGAGGCGGGGAGGAGGGTGAGGGGGTGGTGTGGATGGCAAGGGTGGGAGATGAGCTCCGGGAACTGGGTGCAGCTGAGATGGAGGGTGAAGTTGCAAGGCCTACACATGTACATTTGGCCACAGGATTCCTGTAGTTTGCAAGCTGAACAAATACTGGGAATGGGATTGGGATTGTGGAGGTTAAGGTTAAGGTTAACTAGCTCTAGTTCATGAGGATGGGCGAAATGTCTAAGCTTTGGGTACTGAGCATTCATGGAGTTGAGCCTCCCCATCTTTGATCTTTCTTCTCTGATTCGATTATGAAATGGAGGTGATGAAGATAAACAAATAAATAAATGAATAAATAAAGATAAAGCCTAAGAAAGAAGGAAGAAAATAAGGTTGTTGACTTGGAAAAAGTCAACTGCATTGTAATCTGGAGGAGGATATGATGCGGGCATATTAATTGTCTTGTTGTTTGACTAAAAACTTTTGACGCTTTCTTCGGATGTCTTTCGGTATTTCCGTACACACTGAAATTAAGGAAAGGAGATTAGGGGTGTTGGATAGTTTTGTACGGTTTTTTTTTTTTTTACCCAAATTACAACACATTTTGCCTCTTTCATTTTATTATTATTATCACACAAGAAAATGTGAACTTATACAATTTACACAATAAACTAAATATGCTACAAATCTACAAAATACTAGCTAATTAAATATTTAAAAATAATATTAACATTAATTGTGGATCATAATTTTTTTTAATAAAATTCCTATAATTATATGTCTATGTTGACTTTAAAAAAAATTCATATTAAATTATCTTTATATAGTTAAATATAAATAGTGAATGGTAAAATAACATTTTTAGTTTCTCAATTGTGTTTGTAATTATATTTACATCGCAAACAACTAAAAAATTACATTAATTTTTAAAAAAGCTTCCTTATCCAACCACACATGTCCAATTTATTGTAATTTTTAAAAAGAATAAGGGTTAAATAAGTCTTTCAACTATAGATCAAAGTGTAATTAGTTCTTTAAATTTTTTTTACAAAAAATTAATTAATTTTTCATTTTTATGCAATTAAGTTAATTAATAGGTTACCTTTAGGTAACCAGTAATTATTTTTAATTTAAAAAATAATTAAAATAAAAAAATATAGAGTGAAAGATATTATGCATCAATTATCACTCTATCGCTCTTTCTAACTTTATAAACTAGTATCTGCACTTGTGCGATGCACGAAATATATTTGTTATAATATATGAATTATAATTTGCTTCATATTCGATAGTGTAAATATTGACGTTGAATTAAGGTTTGTATGAATGTTTCGAAATTGAATTAATTGGTCTCATTATCTTTATGTGTAGTAATTTAGTTATAGAAATTTTTGTAACGGAATATATACGTAATATGTAGATCAATTTTATTATATTGGTGCACACAGAATAGATAATATAACTGTTTAGAATTACACATTATTGAAAACCTCTTTATAGACGACATTAGTAGTAGTACCAGAAGTTTGTCCATCATCGTCTAGAGCTAAAACCTTAAGGCGATCAGGATGAGTGACTCAGGAAAAAATCACTTACAATTGACCGTGATTAAAGACTGATTTTTTCAACAATAAGCCAACTAAATTAATTTTTAAAAAAGCTTCCTTATCCAACCATACATGTCCAATTTATTGTAATTTTTAAAAAGAATAAGGATCAAATAAGTCTTTCAACTATAGATCAAAGTGTAATTAGTCCTTTAAATTTTTTTAAAAATTCTAATTAGACACTTTAACTTTTCATTTTTATGCAATTAAGTTAATTAATAAGTTACCTTTAGGTAACCAATAATTATTTTTAATTTAAAAATTAATTAAAATAAAAAAAAACATATTTTTTAGATTGAAATATATTATGCATCAATTATCTCTCTATCGCTCTTTCTATTCTTATAAATATATTACTTTCTGATTTTTTTAAAAAAGTATTTCTTTCGAAGCTGCCAATGTATAATGCATTTGTTATTAGGATCAAATTGTAAATTATTTTAAATTGTTGTCTCTTTTTTGTCCTTTTTTCTTTTAATTTTTATTCTAATTCTAACATTATACATATATATCCAATCAACAATTTCAGTAGTGATTTTGATTCTAACTTACAATCAAATGGACAAACTACTTTTATTAAAACATATTCTAATTAATAAACATTTGATTCCATTTTCAATTCTAATTCCATATAGAACCAAACCCTATATTAAAATAACAAATTTCGATAGTTCAAATATTATTGACAAAAAAAAAAAAAAAAAAAAAAAAAAAAAAGAGGAGAAAAATGGATCATTCTTAAAATTAATAATTAATTAACGCATTATAAATTTAGCAATAAATTAAAAATATAATTTGAATGGTTTGAAAAGAAGTGTATTTAATAAAACGAGATTGTAATAATAAGTACGGAGTAATAAATTAGCTTACGGAATTAAAGACGAAAGAACCTGCATGGTTTCTTTCTCTAACCGCCAACTCCAACTTATATTACTCCTTTACCGTCTTATCGATTTACATCACCATTCAACCGTCCCAGTTTATCCATTTTAATGAATTCTAAAGTCAACATTCATGATTCTATCAATCTCTTTAGTCTGTCCATCCACACAAAAGTTGTCACCAATGGGAAGATTACATGAATTCAAATATAATTTAATTAACTACTCCGTATTTTTTTTTTTTTTTTTTTTTTTACAGTTGCTCTTTATAAAGTGCATAATATCCCTTTCTAGTCTAGATAATATAATTACCTTCAAATTTTGCCACCCCATTAATATTTAATGTGAAAAGAAAATACAGTACATATTATTTGTTAGGATAATAGATAATTTTAATTGGCCCAATGGCTAATAGATCCAAGGCTGACAAGCCCAGTAGACAAGTCTGCAATTGTTATACTATGATTCAGGACCCATCTTGCCAATCGTTATATCGTGGATCATGATACACAAAGCTTTGTGGACCATAGTTCAAAACGACGTCGTTTCTTTAAGTAAAGAAATGGCTGTCGTTACATATTAAATTATTAACGTAGTCAGTATTTTTGGTGTGTTAATTACAAAATGAAACTACAATATATCTAAAATGAAACTGTCTTACATATTGTTTTTATATTATGAAATGAAACTGTAATTGAATTAAAATGAAACTGTAGTTGTATAGAAATAAAACTGCAGTGTATATAAAATAAATTGAACCCGAACAACAATTTCACATATTTGAGTGTATATTATCCAATAAAACTAGTTATACCGAAATGATCGATATTGTAGTTGTGTTATAATGAAACTATAGTGTATGTAAAATGTAATTGAATAACATTTTCACATATTTGAGTGTATAATGTCGAATGAAACTGTAGTTATATCGAAATGAAACTGTAGTTGTGTTGAAATGAAACTGCAGTGTATATTGTCAAATGAAACTGTAGTTATATCGAAATGATATTGTAGTTGTGTTGTAATGAAACTATAGTGTATATAAAATGAAACTGAATAACAGTTTCACATATTTGTGTATATAATGTTGAATTAAACTGTACTTATATCGAAATAATACTGCAGTTATGTTGAAATGAAACTGTAGTTTATATAAAATGAAACTGAATATGTTATACAAATAGAGCTATTTTATACGGAACGGCACGGAAAGGGTGTCATTTCTTTTCATTAAAATAACGACGCCGTTTTGGACCATGGTCCACGGTATCATTTGCCCCATCTTAATTGCATTGTGGACATGGTCCAAAATCATATTCAAATTATGTGTTTGCAATTAACATATTAAAAGTAAACCATGGTCCATAGTATAATTTGCCAATTACGAGTTTACCACAAGTCTATGATTGCTGAAGCCAATTGAGCTTGCTTGCTAGTTGCTAGTGGAGTAGTAGTTGAAAATATTTAGGGGGCGTTTGGTTCAAGTAATCTGAGTCTGGTAATGTTATATTATCTTGTTTCAAGTTGTGAGATTACTTAGACTAAATGCTGTAATAGAAATCTTTTCTAAGTTTGAAATCCTTAGATACTTTCAAGCCTAATACCTCACAATCCGGGGCATTAAACAGTGAGTTTGTCATGCTTGAGTACAAATCAACACGCGTTTCTTCAAGAAGTGGATAGATGTATGAACTGAGGTAATGATATATGGACAAGAAAGTATTTGAGATTTCCTTAACCTAAAACATCATAACCCAAGTGGATTATATCATACAAGAAAAAAGATTCATTTCATTACATGCAGCATGAGCAAATTGTAAGTATTGACATATAAATTTATCAACATGAAACATAGTAGAAAAACACAGAATTTTAAATTAGCAAGAAGTGAGTATATTCCAAGTATTTAGACATATGAATGGAATGCAATCTGACAAGCTCATCTGCAACCATGCAAGACTTAAACCTTGTCCTTGTACAAATTTTTGTTTATCACGTCGTCAAAACACCACGAAAACACTGTATCGATCAGGCCATTTGTCTTCTTTTCAGTTTCCATCATTCCTGGAAGATGAGATAGATCAAATGTTGAGAAATATGTAGCTAACCACGATGCAAAAAGTTTTTTATGTTCTTTTCAGTTTCCAGTCCCTGGAAGATGGAATATGTTTGGCATTTCAGACGGGTTTGAGGGTTCTTGAAAAGGCAGCAAGACTTGATTTTCTCGTCCAGGCCCGTTTGCATCTCCGCGGATCTTATCAGCAACGGATACTTGTCGTCCATCTTTTTCTCCACCGGCGATCAATGGGCGAAAATGCGAAGAGTTCTCCACTCCCACGTGCTTTCGCCGGCGAGGGACATAGCAACAAATGTGTAGATTTAATATGAATGAGACAAAAATGTGTTGATTCAAAATCCTAGACAAAAATGTGTAAAGTAATGTCATTATCTTCTTTTCAAAACTCTATTTAAAAAGAAGGTAATTGGACTACCTTCTTTTTTTTTTTTCTTTGACCAAAAATGCCACAAACTTTTCACATTCTTTTTTGAGTAAATATCCAAATTGGTCCCTCGACTATAGCTAAATTCACAAATTAGTCCTCGACTTTCAATTTCAACCAATTAAGTCCTTAACTTTGTAATTTTAACACAATTTGGTCCTCTGTCTATATGACCGTTTGTTGACTGTGATTTTTGAGGATATATATGTAATTTCATGGTCCATCGTCGGTTTTTTAAGGTTCTAGTTGCATTTCTAGACCGCACTGTTACATTTGAATCCACTGCCGAAAGCAATCTACCAAATCCGGTTGCCTTTCTTCATTCTCCCTTTGGATTCAATGTAGTTGAGTTCGTACCAGAGCGAAGAAGACGACGTGTTTCCGAACCAGTGGAGCGTAATCCTGGAGGCCTCCACGTGCTCCGACGAGAGCTGAAGGTTCTTCTGGAGATCATCGATCACGGTCAACAAACGGTCAAATAGATGGAGGACCAAATCGTGTCAAAATTACAAAGTTAAGGACTTAATTGGTTGAAATTGAAAGTCGAGGACCAATTTGTGAATTTAGCAATAGTCGAGGGACCATTTTGGGTATTTACTCTTCTTTTTTTAAAAGTTTTTTTTACTATTTTGCCCTTGCTTCTTTTTATAATTCTAAATGTATCATTTATTTGTTTTGTATGTGATTTTTTATTTTGTTAAATACTTATATTTAATGTTTGTATTATTAAATATAAATTATACCATATTAAATATCTCATTGAGACGATCGAAAAAAGACTAATATTGAATATATATTAATTAAAATTTCAAATACATCAAACATAACTAGAATATAATAAAAATTAAAATACTTACTACATAGTATTGATATTAGAAAATACAACACAATTTTCAAAAATAGTGTGATTCATTTTCAAAAATAATTAATGTTATAAATAATTAATTAATGTTAATAAGCCTTCGTCCGACGAAGAAAGCTTCTGTCTCCTTCCGGGACAACCCTGTAAAGCAAAGAGACTTCGACTTGGCAATGAACAATATACAAGAGTTGTTTCCAGATGCATATCTGTACTAAATAATTTGATTTCTCAATTATTAGTTCGAATTTAATTAGTTTAATATAATTTAGTTCAAACTCAATTAGTTTAATATAAAATATAACTTGTGATATAAATATTGAGTAATTTTTATTAACATTAATTAATTTTTGTATAACATTAATTATTTTAAAAAAATGAATTTCACAATATTTTTGAAAATTGTGTTGTATTTTCTAATATCAATATTATGTTCTATATATATGTGATGTATTTGAAATTTTAATTAATATATATAAATATATTCAATATTAGTCTTGTTTCGATCGTCCCAATGAGATATTTAAAATGGTATAATTTTAATTAGAAAATATAAATTTTAAATATAATTATTTAACAAAATAAAAAAAATTACATATAATTGAGGAGAGAGAAGAAGGTATTCTTAATACCTTCTTCTCTTTCTTTTACACTTGTCAGCTTTTCTACTTTTTATTTTTTGTTTTTTTTTATTATTATTTTTTTTGGTTAAAGAAGGTAACCTAATTACCTTCTTCTCATAAACCCTAATAAGAAGAAGGTCAACAACACCTCTGGTGACTTTTGCACTTTTGGTCTCACGAGTATGGTGTCACTAACAATTTTGACCCATGACTTTTAAAACTTGTAAAATTGATCCACGACTATGACTTTCTTAGCAAATTTGGTCCTTCCGGTGTATTTTCCGTTCAATTTTTACAAGAAAATTTTACTCCCCATTTTAACATGGATAATATTGACTTTTCCATCTCACAAACTAATGACATAATTCAATAAATAAATAAATAAATAAATAATGTTGTTAGTGACAACCATTATATTGTCTAACGGAAAATGGGGAGGATGATGAATTTGCCCATATTAACCGGAAAATGTGAGATGAAAATGACAATATTACCCATGTTAAAATGGAGAGTAAAATTTTTCGACAAAACTTGAACTGAAAATGTACTGGAAAGATCAAATTTGCTAAGAAAGTCATAGTTGTGGACTAATTTTACAAGCTTTAAAAGTCGTGAATCAAAATTGTTAGTGACACCATAGTCGTGGGACCAAAAGTGCAAAAAACCCTATAGAAGAAGTATAGATTCCCTCCTCATCCCAAAAAAAAAAAAATTAAAAAATCTGAATTTTTAATTACCAAATTGAATGTGTAACAATCATAATTGCATTTCCGATATAAACCTTGGCTATTAAGAAAATGGTTTTTTTTATTGAAGGCGTGAAGGCAGGTGGATGAGAACTGATTGTATTATATTTTCTGAACTTGATTACAATGAGATCAGATGATGTGAATATATAGAATAGAGAGTCATAGTGTGACAATGATAAGAAGTAGAGAGTCACAGTGTGACAAGGATAAGAAGTTCTAAACAGACTCATATACATAGAGTCCTAATACTCCCCCTCAAGCACAGTGTATACTAGTAACCTGTAGCTTGTCCCTTAAGGAAGAAAATCTAGGTCCAGGCAGAGCTTTGGTGAAGATATCAGCAAGTTGATTCTTTGTGGAGATGAAGTTGACTTGGATATCGCCCGAAGCTACTCGATCACGAACAAAATGATAGTCAATCTCCACATGCTTGGTGCGGGCATGAAAGATTGGATTGGCACTCATATATGTAGCTCCTAGATTATCACACCATAATTTTGGAATGGAAACACCCAGAATCTGTATCTCACGCAATAATGACATAATCCATAGAACCTCAGCACAAACATCTGCAAGAGCTTTGTATTCAGCCTCAGTGGATGACCTGGCAACAGTTCTCTGTTTCTTGCAAACCCATGATATAAGATTACTCCCCAAGAAAACAGCAAAGCCACTCGTGGATTTTCGATCGTCAGGACAACCAGCCCAATCAGAATCAGAGAAAGCATGAATGTCTCTAGATGAGCACCGTTGTATGCGTAAACCATGATCAACTGTTCCCTTAACATACCTGAGTACCCGTTTGAGCTGCTCCCAGTGTGATATGGTGGGAGCATGCATATGCTGGCATAACTGATTAACTGCAAAGGATAGGTCAGGTCGTGTGACAGTGAGATATTGCAGTGCTCCAGCTAGACTCCTGTACTGTGTGGGATCATCATATAGATCTGAATTGAAGGGGATAGTTTTCGAGACAGAGATAGGTGTAGAAAGGGGTTTGCATTCAGACATTCCAGCCCGTTTTAAAATATCATTCATATACTGTTGTTGAGATAAAATAATCCCATTGTCACTCTTAACTGTTTCAATACCCAGAAAAAAATTTGGTTCACCAAGATCTCTGATTTTGAATGTAGCAGACAGTTTGGACAAGAGCTGAGACATAATACCCTGATCACTTCCCATTACAAGAATGTCATCCACGTACACCAATAGATAAACCAAAGCAGAGTCTTTAGAGTAATAGAACAGAGAGACATCTGTCTTGGATGCTTAAAAGCCAACCGATAGTAAGAACGTATGTAGTCGATTAAACCAAGCTCTGGGAGCTTGTTTTAACCCATACAGAGATCTTTTTAACAAACAAACATGATTCGGGAAGTTAGCATCAATATAACCAGGGGGTTGCTTCATATAAACTGTTTCAGCCAGATTACCATTCAGAAAAGCATTATGAACATCTAGCTGTTTGATAGACCACCCAGATGATAAAGCTAGAGATAGAAGGAGTCTTACAGTCGTAGGCTTTACCACTGGACTAAAAGTGCCGAAGAAGTCCTGACCTGGAACCTGATTAAAACCTTTCGCAACCAGCCTGGCTTTATGCCTTTCAATAGCACCATCAGCCTTTCTCTTCGTACGAAACACCCATTTACAGCTAATAATATTCATACCTGCAGTGGGTGGAACTAGAGACCATGTGTGGTTATGCAGGAGAGCATTGAATTCTTGGTCCATGGCTTCACGCCACTCAGGATATTTGACAGCTTGAGAGTAACATGTGGGTTCCGTGGGATGCACTTGAGCTGCTAGAGCAAAAAGAGGAGCATCTGCGTTGCTGCGAGTGGCCATAGAGTGAGTACGAACATTGGGCCTGATGGACCGCCCACGTGGACAGCCTCGCCGGCGAGCAACAGGCTCCACAGGATCACCCGACGAGGCAGCCTGTCCGGGATCCACGGCTGGTTCGAATGAAGCAGGTAGCGGCGGTTCTGGCAGCTCATCATTGGACACGGCAGGAATAGGTGTGCTGTGACTGAGAACAGATTCCGCCCAAGGTCCAGAAAACGGAGTAGATAGATCCTGTAAAGAAATTTTAGTAGCAAAGGGGAAAACTTCTTCATCAAATCTGACATGCCTGCATGTGTAAATCTTATTAGTATGTAAGTCCATGCATCTGTACCCCCTAAAGGACTCAGGATAACCTAGGAAGACACATGGAGAAGACCTGTATGACATCTTATGACGATTATATGGCCGAAGATGAGGGTAGCATAAACACCCAAAGACACGAAGAAAAAGATAGGAAGGAGGGGATTTATGTAACAGGAGATGAGGACTGGAGTTATTTAATATAGAAGATGGCATTCTGTTAATTAAATAGACAGCAGTCGCAAAGGCAAAATCCCAAAATTTCAAAGGAACAGAGGCATGAGCTAGAAGAGCCAGACCAGTTTCAACAATGTGACGATGTTTTCGTTCAACACGACCATTCTGTTCATGTGTATAGGCACAGGATTGTCTATGTTGAATTCCTAATTGAACAAACAAAGAATGCAACTTTTTGTACTCAGCACCTAAATCAGACTGAATGGCCTTTATTTTGCAATTAAAGGACCGTTCAACAAGAGTACGAAATTTATCAAAGATGACATAAAGATCAGACTTTAATTTCATAGGGAAGAACCATGTATAACGGGAATAGTCATTCACAAAGATCACAAAATAACGGAAGCCAGAAGTAGATAAAGTGGGCGCAGGACCCCAAATGTCTGTGTAAATAAGATCTAGGACTTGAGAACTAGAGGAAGCAACACGAGGGAGGGGAAAACGGGCAGATTTGCCTAATTGACACGCATTGCATAAAGAATTATGACAACGAATATTATCACGAGACCCACTAACCAAACAAGAACGAAGTATATGGCTAAGAACACGGTTATGAGGATGACCCAGACGATTGTGCCAAGTGGAAGCCGAGGCACGAGCGGAAATAAACGCTGACGGAGACGAACTAGGTAATGAAAGTGTGTATAGTCCCCCCGAACTATTGCCCCGAAGAAGTATTTCCTTGGTATTGATATCTTTCACAACAAAAAAGGAGGGGTGAAACTCAAAAAAGACTTTATTATCGGATGCAAACTTCTGAACAGATAATAAAGAATTAGACAAACGCGGAACGTGAAGTATATCAGACAATGTAAATGATCTAGAAGGGGTATTAAAAGAGGCATGGCCAACATGACTAATAGATAAACCCATACCGTCACCGACACGTAAAGTGTCATTACCAGTGTACTTCTTCGTTGTAGAAAGGGCACGATGTTCGGAGTTGCATGATTTGTGGCTCCAGTGTCCGAAACCCAAGTATGAGAATTTGACGAGGTTTTAGCAACTAAACCATTCTGAAACACCAAATTAGCCTGAGAACCCGGAGCCCCTGAATATCGCCGAAAACAGTTGACTCCCGTGTGACCGAAACTTTTGCAAATTTGACACGGATCATTATAGCGCCAAAAACAATTGGCTCCCGTGTGACCAAACGTTTACAAATTTGACACGGATCATCATAGCGCCAAAAACAATTGGCTCCCGTGTGACCAAAACGTTTACAAATTTGACACGGATCATCATAGCGCAAAAAACAATTGACTCCTGTGTGGCCGAAACCTTTACAGATTTGACACGGATCATCGAAGCCACGTTGCTGACCTCCACGGTAATTAAGGTTGCCATCGCAGCGCTGCATCTTCTTGATTTTAAGAATCACAAAACCCTAGCTAACTGATACCAGATGAGAACTGATTGTATTATATTTTCTGAACTTGATTACAATGAGATCAGATGATGTGAATATATAGAATAGAGAGTCATAGTGTGACAATGATAAGAAGTAGAGAGTCACAATGTGACAAGGATAAGAAGTTCTAAACAGACTCATATACATAGAGTCCTAATAAGGTGAAGACTGAAGAAATAGAAGCGCATAGCATAGCCGAGAGACAGAAGACAAGGCAAATGTAACAACCCAGAGACTCAAACGCAGCGTTTAATTGTTAAGTGGTTAGTGGTTAAAGAAGTTAGAACAGGAAATGTCTGTTATACCCTTGGTTAGTTGAAACTTCTTGTAACTACTTAAGCCTTGGAAATACAGGTGTAATGGATGTTGTTGAATAATACATTTACTTCTTTTTCACTCTCTTCTTCTCTTAGCAATTGTAACAGCAAAGCACTTAACAATGGCGTTGCAGTGGATGATACTAGCGTACGTTGTGGCGGCGGAGGTGGCCGTCGCTATTCTCATAACGCTGCCTTCTCCCAAGGCTCTCAAATCGCGTATCGTCTCTCTAATCTCGCTCGCCCTTCAACCTTCATTCTTCGTAGTTCCCTTTGCCGCTTTCCAGCTCCTCGGTATCGCTATTCCTCTTATTTTTTTTCTTTTTACTGCTTGTATCATCATTGTGATCTTCCGACTTCGACCGCGCTTCATTAATTTTTTTTTTCTGATGTTTAATTTGTCAGATATCTATTGGAAAAATGAGCATCGATTGATGTGCACGGGCGAGATCTGCACTGCTTTGGAGAGGGATCGCTATGAGAAATCGGTATTAGCATTTTCTTCTTCACGTTTTCCGTAAAATTCTGGAAATAGTTTTGTGATTCTCAATGTTATCACTCAGAATGAGGAAAATTTGGAAACATTGCAATGAGAAATTTACACTTATTATTTCATATATATGGATATCTGCCGAAAAGAAAACGCCAATTAGAATAGACACTCCAATTTCGTGCTAAACTGTAGTGTTGGATATACTGCTGAGTTATGAGCATAAATAATTATACCATTTTGTTTGAATTCCATGATATTTCATAGTCCTTGATCTCAATTACTAGTAAAAACACTTGGGGATTTGCAATCTAAGATACTCATGAGTTTGCTCTATTTCCTGTACTACCCTTTTACTCTGTCTTCCTCAATTAGGCATGTTTCGGAGCTGCTTACTTTCATTTTTCCCTTTGTGTGAATATGTTTTCTACTTGAGAGAGCTAAATGGAGAAGAATTTTTTGGGACAAAATCAGAAGTGTGGAAAGATCTATTAAGTTTATTTTTCTTAACATCCTTTTGTTGGTAGTTTAGTATTGTCATTCATTGCTGGTTTCCAAAAAGATTGTTTATGGTTGCTTCCCTTTTGGTCCCTAATTTTGACAAGGTTTCTGATTCCTGGAATCCTAAAAGGCCAAGTGGTCAATTGATTCTGATGGAAAGAAATGCAGGCACAAGTAGAATGGATTATGAGGCAGCACTAAAAAGGATTTTATTATTTATTATTCTTTTAAAGTTTTACTTCTTCGGCGATTGTTAGTCTTACTTATCATAAAAAGGGATAAGAGTTTTCAACAAATCCACTGATAGGTTAGAAATCCCTTGTAACTGGTCATACTTTACTAGATATCTCCTTACCGGCTTACCCTAGGTTTAGCTTTGACTAGCAGCATCCTCACCTAAAATCCTTCCATGGACAACATACAAAACAAGATATGCTGGAATTAGAATATTCAGATAACAACCGAGAAAGGTTTAGCGTTATGGTAATGTTCAATAATTGGTTTCTTATTTGCTCCCCTACCCCTTGCCTGCTCTGGAACTTGTGCATGTACATGAGATAGGAGCAAATGTATATATGGTCTGATTCAGATTCATTTATTTCAAGATATCCTTTCTATCTGTTTTATCCAGATCTACAAGGCTCAGAGGAATGCAATTCTTTGCATGGTAGCATGCCTTCTCTACTGGTAAATATCCCTCGTGTTCCAATGTTAATTTTCAATTACTAGCTCTGTGTTTTCGTGCCGGTAATACAATAGATTTTGATATGGATGTAGGTGTATATATCGCGTTTGCAAGTACTACAAAGAGATTCAGAGTATGGAAGAAGTAGAAAAGAGATACAAGAACCACTAGCTTCTCTTTTTCATTACTACATAGTATGTTTTTCTTGTAACTGTAAGGACAGAAATAAGGAGAAAGGAGATGAAAACTAGTCTGTTATGTAGCTTAGTAAACAAATCAATTGATAGTTCTCTGCATACATTTGAGGTAGAAATTAATTGTTGTTAAATCTTCTCTTGTAAAACAGATTGGATTGTTTGAACTGTCAATGACTACTTGATTGAGACATCTTAACCTAGATATATGGTGGAATCATCCTAAAGCTAATTTCTCCCCACAAATATATTTAAATATCATGATATTTAGATTTTGCATTTCAAAAATGGCACTTTTATTAGTTCTTTAGCATGATATTTAGATTTTGTATTGAAAAAATGATACTTTTGATTTTAGCAGGATATAGCTTTTGTCATGAAAAAAACAAACGACACTTATGGTTCATCTCATTATATTTAGGTTTTGTATTGAAAAAAGAGCAAATTACACTTTTGGTCCTGTGACTATTAGGGGTGTGTTAATTTGAGTACGTGACTTTTAAAACTAACAATTTAGTCCTTTAACTATCATTTTTTTAGCAGATTTGGTCCTCCAGGCCAAATTGCCGGTGGAATTTGGCCGGAAAGACGTTCGAATTTTTAAATCAAACGCTATTTTTTTTACAATTAAAAAGACCGAATTACCCCCACTAATATTTGATTTAAAAATTCGAATGTCTTTCCGGCCAAATTCCACCGGCAATTTGGCCAGGAGGACCAAATCTGCTAAAAAAATGATAGTTAAAGGACTAAATTGTTAGTTTTAAAAGTCACGTACCCAAATTAACACACCCCTAATAGTCACAGGACCAAAAGTGTAATTTGCTCTTGAAAAAATTACACATTTGATTCTTCCAATGATAGTGTAGTGAATTGTCCCTATTTATGTATGCAAACCCTGGTATTGAATGATGCTTTAAGTCTTGTGGGTACAGTAAGAATTTTTTTTTTCTTGGCATATAATTTTAAAAATTAGAATTGGTACTTGATTATCATGGCTATACTAATTCTATTCATCTGTTAACCCCTTTCTTTTTGGTCATATCAACGTCATTAGTGTGAGAAAAAAAAAAATCATAAATCTCTTTTCGAATTACCAATCCCATTGAAAGGCTAAATTAAGCACTTTGAAAGTATAGGATTAATTCTTTTGAAACAGTATGAGTGCTAAGTAATATGATAATTTTTAATTTTTAATTACAAGTTATTTAATTTTTAAATAGTTGTAATAATTATAGATTAATTGGGTATAAATTTAAAGATAGAAAGTATAGACTCAATTCTTTTGAAATAGTACAGGTGATTATAAAGCAGTGCAATAAGTTTGTTGCAAAACTCTAAACTATATACACCGTCCTCATTTACAAGTCATTTAATATTAAAGTAGGTGTAATAACTATAGATTAATTGTGTTATGTGTATACATTTAAAGCTAGAGAGTATAGAGGAGCGTTATGCTGTGGACTCGTGTCCACCGTGTGCATGGTGGACACGCTGTACATTCATAACTTCTATATTGTAGATTTATAATTTTTATACTGTAGATTCATAATTTCTATACTGTAAATTCATAAAATTTATAATGTAGATTCATAATTTCTATACTGAACATTTATAATTTCTGTACTGTAGATTCATAATTTTGATTCTTTAGATTCATAAAATTTATAATGTAGATTCATATAATACAAAAATTATGAATGTGCAGTATAGAAATTATGAATCTACAGTATAGATTTTATAAATCTATAGTATATAAATTATGGATCTATAGTTTAGAAATTATGAATCTACAGTATAAAAATTATGAATTTATAGTATAGAATGAACACGGGTTCACAGCATAATTTGCCGAGTATAGACTCAATTCTTTTGACACAGTATGAGGACTCATAAAGCAATACGATAAGTTTGTTGCAACACTCTAAACTATATATACCGTCCTCATTTACAAGTCATTTAGTATTGAAGTAGGTGTAATAATTATATATTAATTGTGCATACATTTAAAGCTAGAAAGTATAGGCACAGATTGGGAAATGTTGAGAAAACTAGTGCAGAAAAGAATAGGAAAAAAGTTTTAATTAGTCACTGAACTACACACGAATGTATGATTGGACAATCTAACTATTAAAAAAAAAAGGATAAAGTATAAATAAATCACTGAACTATTTGGAAAACAGCAATTAAGCCATCAATCTCAAATAACCCCCAAATAAGTCATTGAACTCGAAAAAAAGAGCAAATAAGCTATTGAACTCAGAAAAAGAGCAAATAACATTTTTAACAGATTAACTCTCAGTTTTTTGTTGAGTAGATTGTCAAATGTTTATTTTATTTATGTTTCTCTTATTATAATCTACCTACATAGTAATATATTTTGAAATAATTATAACCAAAATAGTTTTGTCTTGTCGAGATTTGATTTATTTATTTATTTATTTATTTATTATTATTATTATTATTATTATTATTATTATTATTATTATTATTATTATTATTATTATTTTACTAGATCTTCTATTTAAATAATAATAATAAATAAATAATTTAGATCTATACAAGACAAAACTATTTTAATTATAATTACTTTAAAATATATTACTATGTAGGTGGATTATAATAAAAAAATGTAAATAAAATAAACATTTGGAAATTCAGTCAGAAAAAACTGGAGTTAACATATTAAAAATGTTAATTGCTAATTTTTTTCGGGTTCAATGGCTTATTTGGGGGTTATTTGAGTTCGGTGACTTAATTGCTATTTCTCAAATAGTTCAGTGGCTTATTGATGAATATTATTCTTACTGTTATTTTAAATAATATTTTTATAGTTAATTTGAAATAAGTAATTAATTTTATATCTATTTTTATTTATTATTGTTATGTTTAGCTTTATTACTATTGTTTAATTTTAAGGTTGATTTTATTATTAAATTAATTTTGTTATTAAAGTTTGTGAGCCCAATAATTTCTTAATCTCAATTTAATAAAGGTAATAATAATAGTTGTAATGGTATATGGTCAGTAGGAGTTTTAATAAACATAGACTAATTATAATTGGTTTCTAATTTATTTAAGTAAAAGAATAATTAATAATTTTATTATATTATTTTTAATAAACTTTATTATATTATAATTAATATGTTAATATTTAGTCCATTTTTGTACTTTTCTTTATTAATTGATTGTGTTAAATAATGGTTGGGTTTTGTTCTTATTATTATTATTATTATTATTATTATTATTATTATTATTATTATTATTATTATTATTATTATTATTATTATTATTATTATTATTATTGTTATTATTGTTATTATTATTATTATTATTATTATTACTATTATTCCAAAAGGTTGAACTCCAACCCTAAGGGCCCCCCACACCTCGGCCCGACAGAGCATTTGGGAGGATGTAAATCATGGTGAAACTTTGGAATAATGACCAGGGATCGAGTCTCACTAGCGGCAGTGTGGGAGCAACCTCTCAAAGTGAGGGGGGTTCCTTGTGCGCAATGAGCACCGGTCTTATTATTACTATTACTATTACTATTGTTGGGTTTTTCCTGCACTGTGGACGAAAGCTTGGGAACGAAAAAGACAAAGACTCGGTTCTGTATCGTGTGTAACACACTGCCTTAAAAACATTCACGACCAGGGATTGAGTCGTATGCTTTCGACCGGCAAAACAGAACAAACTCTCAGGCAGATATATATAAGGTGGTGTTTTCGAACTGGAAGCAAATGCGCAGTACTATTTTCGGACTTACAGGCACACGCGACATGCAGTGTTCTATTCGAACAGCTCTTCTATTGCGTTTAACAACATATGAACATCACCTTTATATAGCAAAGCATGTGCAACAGCCAACCATTCACTACCCATAAGAATAGGACTATAAATCAGCGAAGACCACCCCTGTACGCACATTTACTATGTTGTGCGGACAAGGTCACTAACTGATCCATAAAAATAGGGTAGAAAGAAGGTTTTGGGAGCAAAACGTTGACCCCGCCACACCGCGCGTCGTGACGAGCCGGACAGGCGGGCGGCGACGGCGCGCGCGCGCGCAGTTTACCTCCTTTCCCTTCTCATAACACTTCAAACCATCTCAAAAGGCTTGGAGTATATAATGAGGGAAAAGAGAGGTTAAACTATCAATGTGGGACAACTTGGTTAAGCTAAAACAAGCCTTTCCCTTTAAATGCCCCCAACAATCCCCCACCATGAAAAGGGATTAGGCTGGTACTAACATTGCCTGAATGCGACCAAAGCAAATTTTCATGCCAGTGTATAGAACTTGAACTGTCATATAGTAACATTAAGTACTTCTCTACGCGGGAGTGAATTAGATCTTGAACTCACCGGATAGAAAAAGTTTGAACTTAGATGCACTTAATTTGCTCTAGTCGCCATGAATGGTCATGCTCTTGACCCTGAAATATCCCCTGTTAGGTCTATTCTAGTATAGACCTTCAACTCTGTCACGTCTGCCTCAACGCAGACCACCATGATTGGCTACAGAGTATCTATGGGTCCTAAACCCATTTCCCTTGATGTATTAAGGACAGCCTTTCTGTTTAGGCCCTTTGTGAAAGGATCTGCAATATTCCTTTCAGATCTCATAAAAACCATAGTGATTACCCCATTTATTATTAACTGCCGTACAGACTCATGTCTGACTCTTATGTGTCTACGTTTCCCATTGTAGACACTGTTTTGCGCAACACAAATGGCAGTCTGGGAATCACAATGTATGGGAACAGCAGGTGCTGGGCACCCCCACAATGGCACGTCTGCCAAAAGATTTCTCAGCCATTCGGCTTCCTGACTTGCTAGATCTAGTGCTATGAACTCTTATTCCATAGTTGATATGGCTATACAGGATTGTTTGGTCGACTTCCATGATATCGCGGCTCCACACATAGTGAACACGTATCCACTAGTTGAGCTTACATCATCAGCGTCGTTTACCCAGTTTGCATCACAGAACCCCTCGAGCACAGCTGGGTCTCCCTTATAATTAAGGCCCCAGTCTATTGTGCCTCTTAGATACCGAAGTACCCTTCTCAGTGCATCCCAATGTGAGATACCAGGGTTGTGAGTATACCGACTGAGTTTATTCACAGCAAATGCAAGATCTGGT